GCGCAGCTTCGGCCTCCCGGGACGCCCAGGGTCCGGCAGCACTAAGTACTTGCCTGGGGGGGTCCCGGCCGCTCCCCCGCGGGGCTGCGGCCAAAGCGATACCGCTGCCGGCTGGGAACGGCGCGTGGGAGCAGCCGCCCTGCTCCGGCGGGACGGTGGCCAAGGTCCCCTCAGTGGTGGTGTTTTCTCCACCAAGATCCTCCTCCGATCCCGACAGGGGTGCTGGGGGAATGCAGCGAAGCCCTGGGCTTTTTATAGGTGCTGGTAGGGCCCTGGGATGATTAATGGCTCTAATTGCTGCTAGCACTGAGGCCGTCCCTGTCCCCGTTCTCCTGGGCCCAAGGGGAATGGGGATGCACGGATGGGGCAGGGAAGGTTCGGGGTCTCTCTGCACGGTGCTCACACAGCCTCCAACCCCCCCCTCCAGCTGCTCCCCCGGCATCACGCGGGTGACGGTGGTCCTGCCGATGTCTGCTGGCACGTTGGTCTGCCTGGGCACCGAGGGCGGTGCCGTGTACTTCCTCACCCTGCCCACCCTGACGCTGCTGGAGGACAAGACCCTCTTCCCGGATGAGATCCTGCAGAGGTGAGAGCCCTGCAGGCCCCGTGTCCCCTCCCCACCACCCCTAGTCCCCCCTGACCCCCTGTGTGTGTGTGTCCCTGCAGTGTCCCCGATGACTACCGCTGCGGGAAGGCGCTGGGGCCGGTGGAATCCATCCAGGAGCACCCACGTGACGGCAGCCGGCTCCTCATCGGGTACAGCCGGGGGCTGGTGGTCCTCTGGGAGCAGAGCACGCGTGTTGTCCAGCACCTCTTCCTGGGGAACCAGGTACCAGGGGCTGACGGAGGGCTGGCAGGGCTGTGGCCTTGTGTGTGTGTCCCCATCCTGGTGCTGAACCCCCCGTGTACCCCCACAGCAGCTGGAGAGCCTGGCCTGGGAGCAGAGCGGGAAGAGCATCGTCAGCTCCCACAGTGACGGCGGGTACATGGTGTGGGCGGTGAGCGGCACCGGCCAGAGGACCCAGCAACCCGTCATGTCCACCATCCCCTACGGTATAGGACGGGGATCTGGGGGCCCTTGGGCTGGGAGCTGATCCCCCCAGCTTGGTGCCACAACCACAGGGTCGGTGTCTTTCAGGTCCTTTCCCTTGCAAAGCCATCAGCAAAATCCTCTGGCGCACCTGCGAGTCGGGGTACGTGGGTGGGCTGGAGGTGGGCACAGGGGGCACGAGGGGGGGCCAGGGTCTGATGGAAGCTGCTTCTTCCCACCCAGGAACCCCTTCATCATCTTTAGCGGGGGGATGCCGCGGGCCAGCTACGGTGACCGGCACTGTGTGAGCGTGCTGCAGGGCCAGAGCCTGGCCACGCTCGACTTCACCTCCCGCGTCATCGACTTCTTCACCGTGCAGGGCGCGGAGGTGCCCGAGGGAGGTACGTGCAGCCGGGGCCACCCTGGGGAGCCAGTGTTGGTGTGGGGGTCTCTCCTTGCAGCCATCTCCCCTCTTCCCAGGCTTTGAGAACCCCCGAGCCCTCGTGGTGCTGGTGGAGGAGGAGCTGGTGGCCATCGACCTCCAGACGCCAGGCTGGCCCACCATCCCCGCCCCGTACCTGGCACCCCTCCACTCCTCTGCCATCACCTGCTCCTGCCACGTCTCCAACGTGCCCCTCAAGCTCTGGGAGAGGATCGTCAGTGTTGGCGAGCAGCAGAGCCCCCGGCAATCCTCTGCGGTCAGTGACAGGGGTGGTGGGGAGGGAGACCCCTGAGCCCCCAAGGCTGGGCTGGTGGGCTCCATTCCTCCCTCCTTACCTCCATCCCCTCTCCATCCCTCCCTCCAGGCTTGGCCCATTGATGGGGGGAAGAACCTGGCCCAGGAGCCCACGCAGAGGGGGCTTCTCCTCACTGGGTGAGTGGCCTGGCAGTGGGAGGGGGGCCTGGGAAACTCAAACCTTGGGGGACACACATCCTCACCCCTTCCTGCGGTGGGGGATTGGGATGGGGTGGTGGTGAGGCCCAACCACTCTTGCTGGGTGGGCTGCCCTTCCTCGTTCAGCTTGATTGCTGGGCATGAGTGTGTCACCCTCTGC